TCAAAGTCAAGGATCATTTCTTTGCATTTAGTGACATTAAGTTTCATATTATTTGTAACTGTCCAATTATAAATATAATCGACGAGATCCTGAAGATTACTTCTGCAATCAACCATGACACTTTCAGTAGCCGTACTATCATCTACATACTTCCATCGGTCGGGCCATTCATCGAGAAGATCGTTGATCATAACCAAAAAAAGAACAGGACCCAAAATAGTTCCCTGCGGTACTCCTCCGTTTAAAACTTTCCAACTCGAAGACCAACTACCCAGCTTCACACATTGCCTCCGTCCAGTTAAAATACTTTTAATCCAATTAAAAATAGTTGGGGGAACGTTCAATTCCAATAATTTATGCAACAAAATGTTGTGGTCTATCAGGTCGAAAGCTTTAGAAAAGTCAAGAAGAAACACTCTAACGGCGTACTTTGACGCATCAGTTTCCTTTAATAAGTTATGTATCAAGCTAATTAGATTATGAGTCGTTGAGGAATTCTTCAAAGAGCCAAATTGCCTCTTATCAATTTTGTTCTTGATTGAACTAATCAACCAATCAGATACAAACGATTCGCAGATTTTAGACAAAGTAAGTGTCAATGAAATAGGACGCAAATCGGTTGTTATGTCTGCAGATACCGATATTTTTGGTATTGGAATAACTTCAGCGTCTTTCCATGCTGCAGGAACGTGCTGTTGCTGTATCGAAGCATTAAAAAGTGAGGCAATTGGTAAGGCTAAGATATAATAAGCATAATGTTTAAGTACCCAATTTGGGATGCCGTCTGAACCTGACGATTTCGAGACACATATATCAGACAATTTATTATACACACTTTCTTCGTCAATAATAAATTGGGGATGAATGTTACTTTCATTAAACTCGAACTGACTTTCTGTAGATTCTGGCTGTAAAGGTGTAATTTCAATAGTAATTGATATGAAGAAGTCGTTAATTTTATTTGCTAAAACATTTCCAACAACAATCTCATTGTCAAGGACCATAGACGATATTGCCTTTCTCTTCGGATACCCTGCGAATTGTTTTATACAATCCCACCACTTTTGCGGGTTAGGATTAGATTTAAGCTGTTCCATTTTTTTATCGGGATAGCTGGACCTCAATTGTTTCCTTTTTCTATTGGCTAGGTTACGCAAATAATTGTACTTTTGGATATTCCTGTCATGATATGCTTTTTGCCTATCTTTAATGATTTCTTTGAATTCGGGCGTTACCCAGGGTTTATCATTAGCATGTAGTTTGATAATTTTAATCGGAAAGAAACAATCTAAACCACTGTTGATAACTTTCGTGAAAATATCTAGCTTGTCTTTACACGAGACAATACGATACAAAGTCGACCAATTATAATCAGCTAACCATTTTCCAAACGCTGTCTTGTTGGCATATATATTACGTCGAATTTTCACTTTATTGGTCTCGTTTTTTATCAGATTTCCATGGGCCGCGCTAAGAATATAAATATTCCGTAAATACCGAAATAAAAGATGAAAATCTGAAAACACAAGTTTGAAAATAACACTCTAAATAGTGTTTTTGATTCTGGTTCGATTGAGACTATTACGAAAAAGATATGTCCAAAGGGGCCGAAGTTATGTTCGGCGAAATGCATGGCTAGTTTACATTGCTCGTTATATAATGAAATATGATACCATACCTTACTTGTTAAAATTCGCGTCGTACTATTATTGTATTAGGCAAATGAGAACCATACAATAAATGTTTTAGTCCTTGTTATTTTGAACGCACGCTTTCAGTCTTTACTACCACAAAGTTTTTCGCGCGAATTATATTTCGCGCAGTACTAAAATTTGCGCATCCAGCGCAACGTATATAATACAAAACACAAAATACAAAACATCCTTACGAAAAAAGTCTATAGGTGGCCTATTAAGGCCGGTGCCAATAGGAAATGTTCCAATTCCCTATAGAAGCCTTTAGGCATCTATAGAGCTCTATAGGCTTATAGGCATCCCTATAGGTCACCTATAGAAAATGTTCCAATTGCCTATAAAAACCTATAGGTTTCCTATAGGAACCTATAGGTTGGCCTATAGGCCAAGCCTATAGACTTTTTTTGTAATTAATAGGTACTCCGAAAATTGAAAGCATTTTGAAAAATTTATTTCGACGTTTCGACTAAAGTAAGGTATATTGAGTAAGGTATATTGAGTATATTATATTTGAGTAAGGTATATTGTATATAAACCCTATATAATTTGTGGACATTTGACTAAAATTATAATGACATTATGACAATACTCGACTTTGAACAAACAATAGTTTATAAACTCTTAAACTCTTTCATATACCGGGTGTCCCAAAAAAAAGTACTCCGGTTTGACTTATAATAACTTCTAAACAAGTAAATCTATCAAACAGAAGTAACTTGCATTAAATAGAGGAAGGACTAACTTAGATTTTGATATGTTACAGTTGTGTTTAACTTAAAAATTCACGGAGATATTAATGTTCAAAATCGGGAGCATATTTTGGGATGTGTCTAAAATTAGCGAAAATCGGCATATCAAATATTAACTCCAGCGTTTGTTTGCTTAATGACATATCAGGCTAACTTGTATTTCAGCGAATTGTCGTTAGGGTTTGTAAGGGATATGGCGTAGATTTAGACATCTTACATGTAAGTCTTAACTCATTGTTTCCTGAAATATGAACGTTCGAAATTATGTGCAAGTATTTAATAGGTCTTTGCAACTTAAACGTACATGAAAGACCATGCAAGGCAGGTGCTTAAATTTTTTTAAATAGCCTAATTTTTTTATGTTTTTAATGGGTTCAAAAAGTTGATTATTTCTCGATTAGAGCAGGATGAATATTATTCTTTAATGAAGGAAATAATATTGCTTTTTGCAAATACACATCACAGTATCAACGCTAGCGCTATTTTGTTACGTTTTGTTCCAAAAATGTTGGATGTCTCTGGGGAGTTGATTGTTACTGTATGTCTTTACTTATGGAGTTGTTTGCATAGTTTGATTGTGTTTCATTCTCAGTTTATTCTGAACTTGCCAAGATTAAGAAAGGCAAAAAAGTTTGGGTGTTCTTAACAAGATTTCAGAACGTTGCAGAAGTTATAAAGTTCATTCAATGTGAAGTTAGAAAATTCACAATTCCATTGTGACAACATACCCTAATTCAGAACTACGAACGATCCATGACGATCCTTCACAATGCAGTGGTCTCATGAAATAAGGAAACGTATTCGTGCTAGGAACACACGCGGATTTCGGACGAATAAATCCTTACTTGCTTGTATTTTGTAGATAATAATACTTTGTTTCATAATAAACAATTTGTCAAGTGTCATTTTATTTACTGGTAATAGTGCATGTTTCAGTCGGGCAAATCTTGATTAATATTTGATACGCCGTTTTTTGCATATTTCAGACACATCCAGAAATATGCTCCCGAATTTAAACATTAATATCTCCGTGAATTTTTAAGTGAAATACAACTGTAATATATCAAAATCTAAGTTAGTCCTTCCTATATTTGACGCAAGTTATTTCTCGTTAAAAGCTTTATTTGTTTAGAAGTTATTACGAATCAAACCGGAGTACTTTTTTTTGGGACACCCGGTACATAGTGCCAGCGATTTGTAGTAGGTAGCCATGAAGCAGGTAGCCATAGACATAGTAGTCTTCATAGCAGAGATATGAACCCTGTTTCCCTCAATATTCGCAACATTATTAAACCGGTTCATCATATCGATAAATAAACACTGAGTATATAAAGTATAAACTAAACTTACAGATATTATCACTTTATGTACTAAAAATTTTCGTGTAAAACACTTTAATAAAGACACATCTTTGAGTAGCCTGCTCACAGCATTGAAGAACATTTTGTTGAACAACCCCCTCATTTTACAAAGGAACTTGAATACTTAATGAGCCCCCTGGAATGCTGAAATCTCCACCGAATGCAAATCGACTTTCGACTATACATAAGCCAGCACTATACATAAGTCCTCGGCCGCGGGGACTGGACACGAAAAAGCAAGAACGTCAAGAATAGTGTGCTGCTCGGCAGCAATGATCGTTACAAGTTACAATCGCTGCAATCATTACAGTCGCTATAAAATTTGGGTGTAAAATCAGGGTGAAATCCATTTTAATGCCGACGAAGGGCCTTCGCTTGAAACGTCGAAATTCTCCTTATATTTTTCAGGTAGTTGCATCTCTAACAACGAAAGCTTAATCGGTACGTATTTATTTTTCTTTTTTTTATCTGCCTGAAAATATCAAAATTTACTTCAATCTTCATACGTTTAGAAATGAGGACAATTGCTTAGGCCGAATTGGAGTGGACGTACACTAACAGCGGTTCAATATCGGGCAACGTGGTCCACAAACTTACAAATAACATGAAATACGAACTACAGTATACAGTCTATACAGTATGCTATATATACATTTCTGGTATAGAGTGCCTTTGTTAAATGGATCATGTTTCCCAGAATTCCAATTACTAGATTCGTGATTCAAGATTTTATGTTAGGAAACTACGACAATAATGCAGGCACAATAAAATCACCTAAGTTTTCAAAAATGTATATTTATATATAGCTGTGAATTTGTGAAATCTGATATAAACTTCTTTCCTAATTAATCTCGACAAACAAAATACTCTTAATCTGTTTATATCTGATCCGGGTCATGATACGAACTTCGCACAAAATGGGAAACATTTTATGATGGGAAACATTTTATGGTTGTCATTTTTTATGATACAAAACACGACTGAAAATCACAGATATGGAACTTTGGATCACGAAAAGTGTATTGTTCTGTGCAAGTTTTTTCATCTTTTTAAAAATAAAGTAAAATGTCAAGTAAAATGAAATATGTGACTTTCTTGCAAAGCGAAACTCCTCCCCCGGGAAGGACCGGGTTTTTAAAAACTTTATCTCAAGTACTTTACGTCGAAGTTTTAATCCTCTGAGGAATTTTGGAATACTTCTGGCGAAAAGAACACAGACGCTTTGTCACAGCCAGGCCAGTTCATGAATGGTGTAATTTATTAAAGATCAGACGCGCATTTCGTGACAGCGTGAATTGCGAAAGCCATTGCGTGTCCTTTCTACTTGTGGCTTATTACCTGCACCAGACACTAACAGAAAGGGTTCAAGCTGCAACGTTTTCTTAACGTGTTTATTGCTAGCCTAGCTTGCATTGTTCAACGTTAGTGAAATCTATTTCGTCGGGGTACAGCTGGTAAAATCATGAAGTTGGAATTCTTGTTATTACTGGTTTTTGTTAGTTCTATTCATGCACAAGGAACAGGTAAGTTTTGTCTTTTTCTTTGTAAATTCACAACAAAAGTTCAGCGCAATATCTTGATTTTTAAGTTCTGCTGTATTTATGTGCAATGATCATATTATAATCGTCTCTCTGTCTGTCATATACTCACCGATAATGGGGTAGTGTGCTTTGTACATAAAAAGTGGCTAAAATGGCTTCTGTGTCTTTTTACGAATTTTCTTTTTTGACGGTAAATCAAACATATGCTATGCATAGTCGATTGGGTGTTAAGAAGACACAATTTATAAACGTTTGCCTAAAACATATCGCATAACACAGCCGTATGATATACATCTCAATGCCGCCGGATTAGTTCCTATTCGGTTAATATTACGAAATTATTTCCATTGCTAAATGGAAATGTAGAAATTATCAAATGATTCTTAGAATAATAAAATAAATGTCATATGTATGTTTGCGCCGATTGAGTTTATTATCGAATTACCATTTATAGCCTGCGCATGCAGTTAATTGCCAATTGGTAAAAATAATACAAAGCAGCTCTATAAATACCTTTCATCACGACATCTAAATTTTAGTAGTAATTGAACTGAACAGAAAATTGTCTGCATATATCTAAATTTTCGTATTTTGTTTAGGTATTGGCAGTAAAGTCTTCTTGCCCCACTTTTCTATACCGCTGACAACGATTTTGTACAATTTTTTAAGATTTAATCGAAACAAATTGTACAAAATCATTGTCAGTGGTATAGAAAAGTGGGGCAACAAGACGTACAATGTTGATCTCTTGTGTCTGCGATTTATACGATAACGATTAACATTTCCATAGCACAAATTTACATGTGAATATGATCAAATGCGCTTTTCATCAACGTTTACCTAATTACTCACTTTATAACCTAGATTATTTTATCTTTACAACAATTGTGATATTATTTTCATATAACTGTGTTTATCCTAACCCACCATGTCGACAGAGCGTTGACTGATTCTTCTCACATGAGTCCGTAGCGAGAATCGAACCCACGAACTCAGAGGTGAAAGCCGTACGCCGCGTAAGGCGCCTTGCTCTGACGACTACCACCAAAGCCGGCATAGCAAGTTTTTTCATTGCCATTGCGCAATTGTGATAACAGTTTAATTTAACTTAGTCAATTGTCTTTTCGCTGCTAAATATAGTAAATATTGTATTCAGTTTCAAATTCGTAATTCATAAAAAATTCATGATGCACAAAAAGCAGTCTGTATACTAGTATACCACGTTAATATATTAACATAAGGGCGGCATAAATTAATATATAAGTGAAATTTTGCGCTGAAACTCTCGTTATTCATCAGTACTACTGCGCTATTGTACAAATGTGTGCACGCATTGTATTTGTGGTGTGACAAGCAGTCCACTTTAGGCGGGTTGACCGCAGTGGTCGACTCTAAAGAGAAACTAAGAAAAACGGTTATCAGCGTGACTAAATGCCACTAAAATGTTCACTCACAGGCGGCCCAATCTTGCAAGGGTCAGTATAGACTAATATAGTATAAATGTATATTATAGTAATGTATATTATAGTAAAAATATGTCATAAAATATAAATTTTAAAATGAAATTAACTTGCCTATTTGACGATGTGTGTTCTCCTTGTATTCCTCCTTTGTTGGACTAATATTTTCCGAGACTTTGTACTCGACCTTGCGAGATTGGGCCGCTTGTGGTTCACTAAGAATAAAGAGTACAATATGCGGAAAGATGGCGACTGGAGTTAGTGTAGTCGCGTGCACTCGTATTAGTAGTACAACAACAACTATATTTTTACAACTATTACTATATTAGCACGTACACGCCTGTCAAAAATGCATGCAAAAGCGCCAATATGCGATATGCAAAGTCCAGCGGTTATTCCAGTAAAAGTATCCAAA